ATTGGGAAACTATGGATTCGGCGAGATTGCCATCCATCATGATCTGTTGAGATCCGGTATCAAAGGCCACCGGAAATGTGATGGATTTGTTTAGGTTGAGGGGCAGGTCGTTAAAGTAGACATTGGTCACCGTGATCTGCCAATGTTCATCTTCCGTCAGAAAGGAGTATGTTATTTCCCCTGTCAAATCGATAGGAAAGAATTACGTGGCATGGAATGAATACGTGAAGGAGAATGGATGATCGATGGTGAAATGAAGTAGGTTATGATACCGTCAATTTTCGAATAATCAATTGCGCCAAAAGTTATTTCCCCTCCCACATCGGTCTGCAAATCTTTAATCAATCTTACTGTGTAAACCGGATCGGAGATCTGCGTGAATACATGAGAACATTTTTTTTTAAATTACAGTGTTGCAGAATGAAATACATAAGTTCTGATACGAATGCGTAGATAGATACCAATCCTTGTGAAATCATATTGTCAAACACCGTCTAAATTTGCCAGCAGTTTAGTTGTTAGTTACTGTGTAATTTATGAAAGTGTGGATCTCAAACTTACGGTGCTGCCATAATCCGATGATCTGCAATTGTAGTAACGGTGATCAACGCAAAAGTTATTTTTACACAACGCTAAACGAACGTCAGTAACTCACGCGCTAAGTCCGAGAGCCAGTAACCCATCCGCATCTATCATAATATCACTATAAGTGATGAATCCCATGCTCTGATTCACCAAGACAATCCCGCCAAGGTTTATTACATCCGAGGCAAAATAACCCTCGGGACCACCTCCTCCAATGTATGTCATACTAAATTCGGACCCGTTGTAAACGAAGGTGGATGACTCGACTGGATCGAAGCAGTTTTCGCTCACACATTTTTCACAGGACGGTGTGGTGATCCAGGTTTCCGGTGATCCCGAGTCAGCCAGGAGATTCAGTGTTTGTCCAGGAGTTCCTATTTCGACCTTCGCCAACCACTGCCATACGAAAGAGAGAAGGAAGATGTCAAACCCCCGTCCACGACTAAAATTTTGACTTCAAACGATAAAAAATACCTCGTATTCTATGGTCGACAGTGTGACCTTCCCATTCAACGAGGTTAATTGCTTGCGTCTCTTCTTATATTGTATCGGTAACTTTACGATTCTTTTATATTCC